GAAGAAGAAACGTTTGATACGAGAAACACGGGAGGAAAAAGAAGGAGTTGGGACGACGAATACATATTAAAACGTCAATTCTCCGCTCTTATCCCCGCATTCGATCCCAGACCCGGAAGAACAAACGTGAATCAAACGACCGATTTGGAAATACCTGCACCGGGACTTGCGAGCGAAGCAACCACGTCAACGGAAACCTGTTTAACAACTCAACCGAAACTTCAATTGATTTTAAGGGGTCCAAATTTACCTGGAGTGCGTACCATTTTTTTTTCTTCTTTCTTCTTTCTCTCTCTCTCTCTATTTTCATTCTGAGATTGTTAACGTATTTTTACGCGAAAAAAATATTCGAACGGATATCTCGAAATTTAAAATCGATTCGTGAAATCTATCGAGCGGGGGGAGGAGAGACTCAATGAGTTTTCGTTGTTTGTTTGTTTGTTTTTGAATTAACCAAAAAAAAAATTTATTTACTCTATGGAATCTGAGATTGTTGCATTTTACGCGAAAAAATATTCAAACCGATATCGCGAATTTTAAATTCAAATCGTGAAATCTATCGGAGGGTAAAAAACGTAGAGTATTTGTTTGTTTGTTTGTTCGTTTGTTTGCTTTTAAATTAACCAAAAAAAAAAATTTATTTACTCTATGGAGTTTTTTTTTTGTTCTCCACACACCAAACTCAAACGAGTAAAAACTTTTTTGGGTAAAAAAAAATTATTTAATTATTAAAAAATAACAATTTTAACGATTAGTATAATACAAACGTAAAATAATTTAAAAATTAATAATAATAATAATAATAATAATAATAATAATAATAATAATAATGATAATGATAATAATGATAATAATTTAGTCACGGCCTTAAAGAAGAAGGAAAATCTTAGCGAAATTTTAAGTTGATTTTTTTTTATGGTTTAAAAAAATAAATACTAAACGTCATCGGACGTTGACTGATTTTTTTTAACGATTGTTTTTAACTATTTAAATACAACAACCGGTTGTTAACCAGGTGTCGTATTTTATTACTAAACAACAACAACAACAACAAAAAGTTCGGTAATAAAGTGCGTAGAGAGAGAGAGAAAAGGCAAAAAAAGAATGGCACATCCATCACAGGTATAGACTATTTAATTTAAAAAAAAAAAAAACGGTAGAAAAACAAACAACAACAGCCAAAAAAAATTTTTTACGTCGTTTTTATTTTTATTTCGAAAATTAAAAGAGAGAAAGAAAAAAACCCAAAATTATTTTGCCAATCTATAAAGATATCAGATTTACAAAAAAAAAAAAAAAAACTCGTTCAATAAAAAAAAACCAACCAACGTCAATACCTGTACGTACCTGCCTGCCGATGGCAACATAAAAAAAAAAATTTTTTTTTTTTTAAATTAATTTGTTTACATGTATTTGAGGTTAAAAAATTGAGTTTAAGCAGACATTAAAATTAATTACTCGTCTGTTTCTCTTCTCTTCTCTTTTTTTTTTTTTAATCAAAATAATAATAATAATAATAAATTTTTTTTCCCTTCTATCTTTACATCTTAATTATCTCATCGTACAAGTAAAAAAAAAAAATTTTTTTTTTTCGTCTTTCCAACATGGCGGACACCTGTTTAATTTAATTTAATTTTTTTTTATACAAATAACTATCTCCGCTTTGTAAAATTTTTTTTTTACGACTTCAAGTACAAAAGTTTTATTATTATTGTTTATATTATTATTATTATTTATATTATTATTATTAGTTCAACGGTTAAGTAACAAATGTGTTTAAAAAATTAAATCGGTCAAAACCCATTTGAATTTTTAATTAAATTAATGGCGGATTTTTTTTTACGACTTTTAAAGTTTACGAAAATAAAAAAAATAAAAAAATAAATTTAAACCGAGTAATTAAAAAAAAAAAATTTTTTTTTCTTTCGTTTGTTCGTAATTACTCCGATCCTTATTATTATTATTATTATTATTGTTGTTGTTGTTGTTAAACGCGAGTAAAATTTTTTAACGTTTAAAAAAGTTATTATTAAATTATTTAATTAATTAATGACGTTTTAGCGAACGATGAGGAGCCATTTTTTTTCTCGGGAGGGGGAGGGAAATAATAATTATCATCATTATTATGCAAAACAATCATTTTGGAGAAGGAATATTTTGGATTTACGACAAAATAACGTTCAATTTTTTTAGTTATGTAATAAGGGCCTAACCGACAATTTCATTCCAGGCGTTATAATTATAATCTAAGGAAGAAGAAAAAAACGGTAAAATTTAAAAAAAAAAATAATAATAATTAAAGAGATGTGGTAAAAGGAAATAAATGCCGGCGGGGGGCGTTGGCATCCGGGAGGGGAGATGGGGGGCAGCGTAGTAAAAAAAAAAAAAATCAAAGTTGTTCCTTTGCACGACAACAAACTCACGCAAAGGTTTTCTTTTTTTTTTTTTTTTTAATAACGACATAGAATTTTTTCAGTTCGTTAAACTCATACGTAAAATCATCTGAACCTAATGATCTCCTCAATAATAATAATAATTTTTTTCGGTAGGAAAAATTGAAGAGAAACGAAAGAGAGAAAGAAAAGAAATTTAAATACGAAAAATCGAATGCGTGCAACCTAGAGGGAACGTTCTAGAAGAGAAGAAGAAAAAAGGTAAAAAAAAAAATTTAATTTTATACATTTCCTTTCGGTAATTTTTTTTTTTACGACGATCTCTCGTTCGTTTAAAATTCGAATGGGGAGAAATAAAAAAAAAACAATAATAATAATAATAATAATGATAATGATAATAATAATTTGAAAAACCACAAATGACGATAAAATGACGAGTAGATTTTTAAAAAAAAATAAACAAATTAAACACACACTGAACGAATGCAATTAACTTAAACTAAATTTTTATTTATTTTTTTATTAATAATAATAATAATAATAGTAATAATAATAATGATAATAACAACATCCTCGAACAACATCATTCGCGTTTCTTTTTAATTTTTTTTAATTTTCACAAGATTAATTAAATAAATAAATAAAAACAAACAAAAATTTCACGGCGGTTCCGACCGACGGGTGTCCATTTAAACCGTTAATGACGTCATCAATGTAAATTTTCATTTAAAAAAAGTCCGCCAAAAAACAAAAGAATAAATTCGTCATAGAGAAAATAAACGCGGGGAAAAAATTTCCCCGCGTGATCGTTTTTATCGCATCGTGATCATGATTGTATATTTATCGTATTAATTAGCATCGTTGCCTTTCGTTCTTATTTCAACGGGGAGTGGGGAGGGGGGCAACAATACGAATATTTTTTATTTATTCTCTCACCTCTCACGTCATCATCTCAATGATTTTTTATGAATGAAATTAATGAATATATAAATATAATGATAAAGTCGTATAAATTTTAATAATGACGATGAAAAAAAAATTTTTTTTTTTTTTAAATAATAATTTTCATTCATACTCGAGGCCATTTTTTTTTTTTTTTTAATAAATAATTTTTAAATTATAATTTAAATTTTTGGGGAATCATAAATTTTCTCCATTTTTTTTTTTTTTTTGGTAAATTGTCTGTGAAAATTTATATGCGTAAAAAAAAAAAAAAATTTGCATTTATCATTCGAGGCGAAATTATAATTTTTTTTAAAAAAAAAATAATCAGTTCACCGTCATTAATATTATTATTATTATTATTATTATAATTATTATTACTATATTACGAAAAGAAAAATGATAAATGATTAAAAATTTTGTAAATATGTGAAAAAAAAAAAAGATTTCGGCATTAAAAAAAAATAAAAGTTATCAAAAGATTTTTCTTGATTTCCATATACGTCGATGAAAAATAATAATAATAATAATAATAATAGTAATTTCGACGAAATAAATAATTAATGGCAAAAATTTTTTTAAAATCTTAATTAGTTGGTAGATCTAAAAAAAAAAAATTTTTTTTTTTTAATTT